ACGTTGACCCAGTGCAATTTGGCCAGCGCTACCCAGCCACACGCCTGAGAGCGGGAGATTAAAATAAAAACTCCCCAAGATAAACTTCCACAATTGATATCGCGCAGGCCGTTTCCAAGCACTCTGGGACAACACTGCTTCCTGTCCGGTCGGGGTGCAAGGGCGGGTGCGCGTTTCCTGTGCTGAGCTGATTGGGGGAGGAGGACAACACAGAGGCATGAAAGGCATTGGACTTCTCTTAACTAGCAGAGAGCCAATGGGAGGGAGGAATGTTTATTGATCTTAGTCACACACGTATTGTAAAGAGGAACTTTGCTATGAGCCGCTAGCACGCTATGGGAATCGAGACTGGGGGTGGGGGGGGTTGTTGGATGCATCGGAGGACTTTTCTCGCTGCGGTGCTCAAGCATTTGACCAATATATACTCCTAGGAGTTAATTCTTGCCAACACAATGTGAAGAATTCTTCAAACACAAACCCAATAATTCCCCAACCGTATTTTAACAAATACACTGGAAAGAGTTAAAGACTGCATACACAATAGGAAAAATTCCCCAACACTAAACCTTGCCTGACCCTAACCTTTACCCGACCCCAACCCATATCCTGAACTCCACTGCCTGATCATACCCAAGTCCTTCCCGTACGCCAACTCTATCCCCTACTCAGGATCAGACTAATATTTATTGCTCAAATATGTTAAAACACACAAGGAATTTGTCTCCCCAAAAAAGTGCATGCTTTATTCTCGGATGCCATTTTGAGATCCGCAAGTGACCTCCTCCATTGTGTGTGAAAGTGAGTTGAACTGATGAGTTGTGCACACATGCTTCCTGCTGACCCTTGGAAAACGCTTATCTGCGCTTATCGCAGAATGCCGAGCCATGCATTGGAAGAGGACGTTGACAAAACAACCCAGTAAAAACTTTCTTCATTTTTATTTATTGAAAAGGTAAAAAAACAAAAAAAACAACACATGAGCATTTTTGTAATGGGGTTTTCTGTTTTATAAAATATATATATATATTTTTGAGAGAGAGAGAGAGAGTGTTCCGTCAACCTGCCATGCATGTTTTTGGAACGTGGGAGGAAGCCAGAGTACCCGGAGAAAACCCACGCAGGCTTAGCTCCTAAGCAATCGGCAAGACGCAGACCAGCACTACATTTTTTTTTTTTTTTTTATCCACTGAAAACAAACATTTAGTCATGTCTTTGCGTCTGTCAGATTGGGTTTTGTCGAGATATTGAATTGTTCCTTGTGAAAACACAAAGAACAATAGCCAGTCAACTGGTAAGAATTTATCAACGTCGCATTGCCCGCTTGACATTGTTTTCCTCTGGCTGGTTTCCATTCACTTTGTCCTGCTCTTCATTAGTCATATCCTTCGCATGCCATGGAAAAGTCGTTAGTAAATTTGCAGACAGACTAACAGCTCGTTTTTACTTGGGTTGTCATCAAAATCTGCAAGTCATTGCGGCAGTTTGCGCTTGACATTCTTACTGAGAATGAGAAAAAAAAACCCGAATTGCACAATGTGAGCGATGTGACTGTGTCACGTTTCCTTCCGTTATGTTCATCGAGCCTAAAAATAAATCCATGTCACGGAGTGTGTGATTCCCATGATGTCAAAATAGGAAATTCATTTCACAATGAGTCAGCAAAAAAATAAAATAAAATAAAAGGAAATTCACTTTCACAACGAGTCAGCAAAAAAAAAAAAAAAAATGTAATCAAAATTCAAAAGTGACCATGCATGACTTTTATCCTTGTATGGCAATTAGAAAAGTTCTCCCAAATGTCTGGCCTAATAACATGTTTGTGACATGTTTTAAGCCTGTCTCATGCAAGTGAGGGACTGTACCGAATATCCTGTGCCAATGGAGGGTCTGTTTTTTTAATTCTGAAGATAATCGGCTGAACTATAGCATGACACCGTATACAGAAGACGAGGCCGGCAAAACGCTCCCATCCCTGCGAACGGAGAGGAGCTAGTTTACAAAAGTAGTCAGCGAACTAAGCAGTTTGATCGCTATATTTAGCAACTTTTCTGACCACCCTCGTGCTGATATTTCAAGTGACAAGCGGCTTTATTCCTTGCGGAGAAACAGAAAACATGAACAGAATTTGCAGAGGTCATTTTGCGTCACCTGTGCAACTCTATGTCAAAAAAAGAAAAAAAAAAGCTGCAGGTGCACCAGTATTCTTTCCTACTTTTCATCCATTTAATGCCCAGGAAAAAAAATATTTCAAAGCCTGTTTGATATCAGGGGAAATAAAGCAACCCCCCCAAGTAATTTGCTTGTTTCTATTACTGAAAGGGGGGAATTGGAAATCCCATTTCTTTTTTCTACATTTTGACAAATAGGCAGATAAAAGCTGTATGTGGTTTGATCATTTCACACTCGATGGGTGGTCAGGCACACCAGAGACCCAACCGTGTGTATTTAAAAAAAAAATATATATATATATCATCTTCAAACCAGCTTCTTGCTTTTATGTAAATTGGATGTTAAAATTTCACTTAAAATACACCTGTAGCAGTTAGTTATAGCCTTTAAAATTGTTTGGCACCAATCTCAGACTTTCTCACCTGAATGCTACCTCAGGAAATGGAAGGCAGCTGACCTCCATTATTGTGCTTTTTGGTGCATGTTGTATTCCTTTCCACATCCCTCCGGAGAAGCTCAGCACGCGGTAAATAGACCAAACACCATTGGGGCGGTCCTTGGCCTCACTGCCCCCTTGTTCCTATTGCCGCAGCACAAGACACAACATTAATCAACACGACCACACATTGTTTTTAGAAATGAACACAATACACATGCTTGCAATTATAAAGGATGTTTCCAGAGAATAGTCTGCGACTTTGTTTCCCAAAGTTCTTACTCAAGATAAACAAATTTGCTGTGTTTTTTGGAAAATAAGTTCCACAGAAGTCCATCCATCTGTTTTATTTCTATTTTAAAAATGGTGCTTGAATTTACTCAATTTTATTTCATCAAGAAATAAAATCATTTGGATCCAGCTTCACTTTTTTTTTTTTTAAAGTAGACTATCCAGCTATCTATATCCAGATGATTCGATTGTGTGCAGCCACTTAACAAAATCAAATTGAATAAATTCAACTCATTAGTGTCATCACTGAAAGGGCACATACAGTACAAACAAACAACCATTCACACTGACATTCACTCATGGGCAATTCCAATTGATTTCAATGAGCAATTGAATAAGAATGGTGTGGGCCATGCGTTTTGTATCAAGCACTTCTGTTTTGGAAAAAAAAAAAATAGCATTTCTGAAGCAAAATAAATTAATGATCTCTTTCAAGAAAAGAGGCTAGATTTTTTTTAATTGACATACAATTAATATTTACCTACCAGTGGCGTCATACTTCTTGTTTGAGTTAAGTGCAACAGCCTACAGCCACGCAACCGACCATTTTGCCGAATATTGCCAAAAAGCTCCCAAAAGGCCCCAAACTATTTGATGCTCATGCAAAGCAACATTGGGAACAGGGACGTGTGGTGTGGATTTATACAGAGCAGGTATGTTAAATTTATTCAGTGTCCAGGCTTTTTCTACAGCTTTGAATTGTGGTCCGGGTACAAGACATTATTTACAAAATAAGATGCTGTACAAATTAAGCTGCACTAGCTCATATTGTAACTTACTGTTATGATTTATAACCTGTTGAATATTCATGTCACTGTATATCATCAAGAAGACACATTTACTGTGTAGCGTATCATTTCAAGAATAATGAAAAAAAAAAGAATTTAATCGAAGCTGGATAAATACAACAAAATAAAAGATTTAAAAATACATAAATGACTGCAAAATAATCTGCTATCTGCTTTGAAACAATAAATTTCTGATGCAAACGTTTCGCTTTTTATTCCAGCAAATGTTAGGCGTATGCATATGTATGGGGGTGCCAAGAAGTGTAAACGGAATTACAAAACGATATATAAAGAAAAAATCGTCAGTTTTCAGAGAACATATTTTTATTGCGTCAACCATCACATGTTCACTTACACATGTGTAATCATAAAACAATAGAAATGCAAAATCTACTAGCTTACTGTTGCATTACAAAAAAAAAATCACTTTTTGGCATTCTTGCAAATCAAATCAACATGTGTGCCACACATCTGAATACACGCATGTGCGTATACACACACACACACACACACACACACACACACACACACACACACACACACACACACACACACAGCAGAATAATTTCCCCTCAAATATATACAAATATTAGCCCCATAAAATTGCTTTACAAAATACTTAATAAAAACACAAACGTCACATTTTCGGATACAAATATAGCTTCAGTGTCCTCACATCCACATTATATTGGGTTATAAATTACAAACGGTCTAAGCTCATTTGTATTTCGTTCAGAGTCACAGAATAGCAGCGGGACTAAAAACCACAACAAGGACACCGGTAAAAAATATAGCTTCAACGTCGCCTGTACATTACATTCTGACAATATGACCCTGTTTGTGTGAGCCATATATATGTTAAAAGTCGTTTGTTATATATATATAACAGCATTACTGTTGCTGAATTGTAAAGTGGCATCATAACCAATCAGTGTTGCTGCTATTACAATAGCATTTGGTCCAAGAGTCACTGAAAGTGACTGAACTGCTAGACTGGGTGGGGAGGCGGGACCAAAATAGAAACGCACATCACACACAGAGGAGTACAGTAAAATCCTGCACATTTGTGTTTGGCAATTCAGAAATGAACAGATATTCGCATTTTTTGGTTCGCTTTTCCTGAAACGCCAGAAGATTACACAAGACGCTGCCAAACTCCTGCTTCAATTGGTTCGCTTTTCCTGAAACGCCAGAAGATTACACAAGACACTGCCAAACTGCTTCAATAGGCTGCTTAAGTAGTGCAGTAAATTGGTCCAGAGGAAGAAGAGTATTCCCCTGCTTATTTGCAATCCGATACTCCAGGGTCATTTATATTTTAGAGGTGAAATGTAGCCTCCGAAAAACTCACCTATTCACTATGTTTTTGCTCAGACCAGATGTGAATGATTATTTAAGGTGGAGCCGTCGGACAATATGAACTCAAATGCAGTATAACGCGCATTGTACATCACTGGGATAGTCATTGCGGTTGCTTATTTTCTCAGCTCCGCACATCGTTCATATAGACGTTTCTCCGCTGTGTCTTCACTGCACGTCAAACGGTCGCATGGTAGCTCTCAGGTGGCAGCGTTTGTGCTTCATGGTGAGGCCATACTCGGGCGTCATGTCGACAGGATCGCCGGGCATGGTGCGGAAATGCAGCCTCTGCACAATGATGGCCAGGAAGAGGAAGACCTCGTGCCGCGCGATGACCTCACCGATGCAGCGGCGCTTGCCCATGCCAAAGATCATCACCTTCTCGCCCTCCTGCTTATTGAGCTCGGTGCCATCATCACTCAGGAAGCGCTCCGGGTTGAAGGTGGATGGATCTTTCCAGATCTCACTGAAAGTTGCAGAGCAACCATTGTGGTAAGTCTCCATTGCCAGCCGTGCGATAAAAAAGTTAGCATTCTACTTACGGGTCTTGATTGATTTGCCATTGATTGATAAAGACGCAGGTGTCTTTGGGAATAAAAAAGCCGTTCAGAGATGTGTCCTTTGTGGTACTGGAAAGACGGCAGCGAGGTCATGCATTAAATGTCACGCTAGCCCAGCGATAGCATCGGACGCCTTCCGAGAAGTTAACCTTACCAATGGGGGATAGTGAAGGGCAGGAATGAGGAGTGACGAAAGATTTCCAGGATGAAGGCCTCCAGGAGGGGCAGGTTGACTTTGTCGGACAAAAGAGGAGAGCGGTGAAGTCCCACTTTGTTCTCTGCAAATGAAAAGATTCGGTGAATAGTCTGCCAGGATGCGGAAGGGGGAATTCCACTTTCAGGGACTTACTCAGCTCTTGATAAAGCCTTTCCTGCATCTCCGGATAAGCCACCAAGTACATGACAGACCACGACAGGGCGGTCGAGATGGTGTCGAAACCTAGGGGACAATCAAACATCATTTCATTTATTTAGAGGTGACTTTAAATCAGCACTGGTATAGCCTCAAGACCAAAACCAAAGGTAGGACTGGACTCTGGACTCTGGTCATCTGAGGCTATTACTAGAGTGATGAAATGACTGGAGGACTCAGGTGGCTTGGGTGCTGGAAATCTCCAGTGGCTCGGATGCCACCTCCCAATCTTCAGTAGCTTTGACACATTAGCCTACAAAGATCTCCAAAAGCCTAATCAACCTAGATCCGAACCACCAAATATCTACAGTAGCAGCACCACTCCAGCCAGCCACGGGAGACCACCGGTCCCACCAGAGATCTCCCATAGCGCCAACACACAAGTTCTCCAGTTGCCTCTTCAGACAAGAAAATCTTGAGTTGCCACCGGAGATCTCCAGTGACCTAACCACAGAAGATCTCCAAAAATCCGAGGCACTGGAGATCTCCTCGAGCCTCATTCTAGCCACTGCAGACCGACCCCAAGCAATGTAAATGGGTGGAATGCACAACTGCTTCGACACATGGGAGAAGTAGAAAGAAAAGAAGAGCTCCAACCAACCGGCTCCAAAGAGGTCATTGACGATCCCGACGACCTTGCCATCCGACACCTGGACATTGGAGTTCTCGTCAAGCTTCCTGTCCTCGCAGTGGTCGATGAGAGAGTCAGTGATGTCCCGAATGTTGTCCTGGAAGTCAATCAGTTGGACAACTCTGATTAGTACAGTGAAAACATTTTTTTTTTTTTTTTGTCGGGGATATCGTTCACAATCACCCTGTGTATGTATATATATATCTATCTATATATATATATATATATATATATATATATATAGATATATATATATATATATTTATCTATATATATATCCATGTAAAAAAAACAACAGCTTTTGTGCACAGTTTTACCCAACTACTTCTGCTGTTAACACATAAAAAGTTATTAAAACAAACACAGTGTAAACGTGTTTGAACATAAAGGAATCAAATGAATGATAGAGTCTAGGTGTTAAACTGTCTAGCCAGGGAACACTGTATGACAAAATGGAAGAAACGGTGGTTTAAGATTGGTGGTTGGTACCTTGTTGAAGGTGGCGTAGTGGTCAACCACAATCTTCCTCACAAAGGCGTTGAAGCGGGCGTTGAGGCTTACAAACGCCCTCATGGTGGCACTCGGCAGGTACTGGAGAGCCGGGATGAAATCGGCTGGGTTGCCGCTGCCCACCACTTGGGTGAACTCGTCACTGAGGTTGACCAGGCCCAGAAGCTCTTGGTCGTCGTGGTCGTAGCGGCGGCCGAAGCACATTCCGCAGATGACGTTGGCCACAGAGACGACGATGTGGCGAAAGGGGTCAAAGCTGCCGTCGGCCTTCATGACTTTGTTGAGCTGCTCGACCAGGTACTCGCCTTCCTTGCAGATGTGTTCCTCCAGCATGCACGAGTACTGCGGCGAGGTGCCATTCAGGGTGGCAAAGGAGCGCAGGGCGCTGTAGGCCAGCTTCCGGCGCGCCCGCCACACACCTGCCTGGTCCGTGCTGAAGGCCAGACTCTCGCCGTCGTTGATGAAGCGGAACGTGTACAGGTCGGGCCTGCCCGAGAAGTCCTCTCCTTGTTTGATGAGCGCCTGTCGCACCGTTTCGCTGCCGCTCAGCACCACCACGGGACGCATGCCAATCTGGATCTTAAACACGGGGCCGTAGCGCTTGCTCATGGCGGTCAGGCTCAGGTAAGGCCTGTTGCCCACTTGGAGCACGTTGCCGATGATCGGCAGGGGTCGGGGCCCCGGGAGCCGCCGCAGCCCTTGCGGAATGTCGCTGCGGAGGAACTTCAGCAACAGGTAGACCAGACACAGCGTGGTCAGGGCCACCAGGCTCTCCGACACGGACACGGCCCCCACCAACGGCAGTATCATTAGCACCATGGCAACGTCCTTTATTATTTTCTGGCTGCAAAAATCAAAGCACCTGGAAATAGAGGAGGCAGAGGTGTGTTAGTGCAGAGGCAGGTTGCGCAACATGTCGACCAGCTGCTGTGGAGAACGAATGAGGACTGCACGTTATTTTACCCTGCATGTGATGCATTGCATGTTAAAAAAACGAACAGAAATTTAACAGTGGAGATCCAGCAAAACATCTGCAAATTTCCTCTGATGACCCAATCTCTATCTCACTCGAGTCCACGTAAGACACTTGTGAAGTCTGTGGTGCAGAAAGTCAGCTTACCCTCAAGCAACCAGATGAGCAATGCAATCCAAGAGGACTCCAAAGATGTCAAAATAGTGCTCAGACCCAAGTTCACACTCCTTGTGTCCCCAAAAGAGAGAATGGGATTCTGCTTTATAGCGTGCTCCTCCACTCCATTGGCTGCAGCCCGTGATGTAATCACCCCTCCTTCTCTTTGTCATGAATGAAATCTAGTGCGCTGAAAAGGTGTGTGCGCGAGCGCCTGGGTGATCGCATGTTTCGAAAGCTCTCTAATGCATGCGCTCAGCGGCATGCAACAAAGCAACAGACGTTCATTGCTTTATCAAGGCCTTTTTTTCTAGTTTTGCCGATGAAGTCATCACGGGGCCGTTATTGGTCTAATTACCATGAGTTGAAAAAGTATGTGAGAGCAATTTAACTGAAAAAAAGAAGTCGTACAGTGACAAAAATAAAGATGTAGAATGAAGAGGAAAAAAAAAGTTTTAATGCAATGACAAAAAAAGTCAGAATGTTAGGAGAACAAAGGCATAATGTTACCAGAAACAGCAATTGTTACAAGAATGAATAATTTCCTTCGGTTGGATTCAAGCTACAGTAAATCTGCCAAACCTAATTCAACCATAATGTTGTAAAATAAATCGTTATGAGATTAAAGCTGCAATGTTGTGAAAATAAAAATCTAATGTTACGAGTGACGGGTCGTAATTACGAGAATAAAGTTGTAATATGTCACGAGAATGAAAAATTAATGCAATGAAAAAAAGGTTGTTAAAAAAAAGTACTGTCATCAAAATAACGTGAGAATAAAACTGTGGTATTACCACAATCAAGTTATGGGCTTCGATCCATGTTACCAGCTCAAGTCTGGCGCAAGGTGTGAGGTAAATGTGCACAGGGGCGGGCTAGATCTCGTTTTGGTATTTTTGCTGATGCACACAGTTTGAAGCAGTTTAAAAAGGGCGTTTTGGGTGCAAACACGGCCGACTAGATTGGCCGCCAATCGAAGCGCGTCCTGTCATTCCCTTTAAAATTGGCCTGCAAGAGGTACACGGTCCTTGACTTTGCGGTAGAAGAAACTGATTTGCTGGAGCCCGTGGAGGAGGTCGAAACAGACCTCCACAGACGGATGATGTACAGGGAAGAAAAGTTGCAATGTTTAAAATATTTCAGTCGTTATGTTACAAGATTAATAGGTGAAGAGCAAAACATCGTGATAAGAACTTATCTGCCAGTCTAATATCCCCGTCGCTAAAGCGATAATGATATCATTTATGGTTCATGATGTGATGCCTGCCTGTTAACGCTGTGTTTGATAAACCGCTTGCAAATCCAACAAATTTCAATGACTGCAGCTGTTTTTGTGTGCGCTTTTAATACTTGAATTTTGTTGCATTTTACTCAATTTTGACCACCACCTTGGCCTGAGGGAAGAGGGCTGGGACAAGCAAGGGTGGGGGTTGAAACCAATCGTGCACGTGGAGACTCATAGTGTGAGGGAGGACTTGGGGGTGGTTCTGTTTGAGAAAGGGCATCAGTGACAACATCTACCACCCAGGCAGCACTAAGTCCTGATAAAACACTCAGGTCGAATGCCATTGCGTGCTAGTACCTGTGAGCCCGAGTTAAACATTGACCAGTTGCGTGAGAGCGCAGTGATCAAACCTTCACCTCCCCTTTGAGGTGGCGATGCTGGGAAGGAGCGGGGGCCGGTGGGTGGGAGTAGGGGTGTGGGGTGGGGATTCAGTGTGTCTGTGCAAGTGCAAGGGTTGACCATTTCAATGCGATCATTTTGCGGAATGGTTTGTATGCAGCTAGGAAACAAACACTTGATGTAAATGTTAGAGGTGTCAATTTGTCACGTGAATTGCGAATAATTAATTACAGTCATATTCAGCGCGTTATGTTTTTTAATCGCATTAATCTAAATTTTAATCTCTAACTTTATTGTTTCTGTCGGTGGGTTGCCTTTTTATAATATCTCTTTCCATGTGTTGACTTCCTGTGTTCGAGTATTTGAGGGTGGGGAAACAACTGTCAGTCACAGCCTGAATCGGACATTGATTGGCTGTCATTATGATGTTTAACCCTTTTATGCACCCTGTGACCTGGTAACATGATAAGCTGTCCACTGTAGTAACCGCTGTACCTGAACGGGTTAAGTTGAAACGATAAAAAAAAAAAAATTAAAGCCACATCACATAGAAATCGTGTTATTGTTCCCTTTGGCATTATAAGTATCCACCTAACCGAGACAGAAAGAACTAATGAGTAGTAATGAGAAACAGAAATAAAGTTGCAAAAATGAAAGTGGCACTGCTACAAGGATGAAGAAAATGAGGAAAAAAAAATCACAATGTTGCAAGATTAAAGTCGTAATGTTACGAGAAAAATACGTAATGTTGGGAGAATTCAATTGGAATGTTTCTTGAGAAAAATATAATACATTGCATTTCAGTCGGAATGTTACAAGAATAAAAGTTGCAAAAGTATCAGATCATGTTACAAGATAAAGCGTGATGATGTTACCAGAAAAAAAGGATGCAATGCAACAGGAATAAAATGATAACTAAAAAAAAAAAAATCAGTGCAACTTCCCAAAAAGTTGAAAAGTTGACATTATACGGCCATTTTTTTTTTTTGTTATTAGATATAAATCCTAATGTTACAAGATAACATTTTCACAGAAGAAAGTAACAAACTGACGAGATTAAAGTTGGGATTTTACAAAATTGAGTGTGACAAGATTAGTTATAATTTCAGGAAAATACGATCACAGCGTAATGAGAATAAAGTCAAATTGTTAACACAAGAAAGTCGTCAGGTTACGAGAAAAAAAAAGGTTTCAACATTACCTAATGAGAATAAAGTTAGAATGAAAAATGTTGTGAGTTCAAAGTCAGGATGTTATTCCCCGCCCCCCTCCAAAAAAAAAAGGTTATGAGAATTTTAAAAAGTCACAACAAAAATATAATGTCATCGGTTAAGAATTTTTAATTGAGGAAAAAAACTGGAGTGTTATTAGAAAAAAAGTTGTGATACCAGAATGAAAAAAAGTCGTAAAGTTACAAGAATGTAATGTCACGAGGGATAGGCTTAATTTCGAAAAATTGTAATATTACAAGATTCAAGATGTAATAATTCTACTTTTAAAACCTAATTTAACAAGAAGTTCTCGTGCCACGAAAATAATGTTGTAATGTCGCAAGATTAACGCTGCACGGTCGCAAGAAAAAATGTTGGGGGTGTGGCAAGATACAAATTGCGATGCTAACATTTCCTAACATTGAAACTTTACTTTCTCTTATCTTTTCCATCATGATATTCAGATTTAAATTTAAGCGAAACCGCTGAACTGATGGGGTCCTATGTAAAGAACTTTGATGAAACAGTTAATGATTAATGCTCAAGTTTGAAAGGATTAGTTGCACATGTGGCATTTTCGTGCAAAAACAAGCTCTCCATGCCAAGATTGTGCAACAACAAGCGTTATGAAACAAACAAATAAAACACTCACACACACACACACACACACACACAAAAAAAAAACAAAGCCAAAACTGTGAATTGTTATATTCTAATCTGCTTTGTTTCGTTTTTGTGGCATTGTATTAATATTAATAGCGAGATGCATACTGTAGCTTGTTCTTATTGGCTTACTTGCAAATCCTGCCTTGACACAGCCAAACAGTTTTTCTTTTTTAAATAAGGTTTCATCTTGACCATCAACAATAAATAGACAAATAAATGAATACATGTATAAGTAAATACATGAATAAATATTTTTTTAAATAACTGAAAAAAAATTTATGAAATAAATGGGTAAGCACAAATAAATAAATAAAACATGAATAAACAAAAAATAAATGTGTGAGTAAAAACACATACTTTAATTGAATAAATAAATAAACAAACACAAGATTCATCCTCATGATATGTTCTTGATCCCAAGAATAAAATTTGTCTGTGGAGGGGGAAAAAATACCCCCCCAAAAAGAGGGAAAAAAAATTGATATTAAACAAAAAAACATTTTTCAAAAGCAAAATTTGGGACGAAGAAAAGACAAATAAAAGAAATCAATAAAATTGATCTTAAACCGTTAAAATGTAAACAATTTATTCTAAACAAAATAAAATAAAATAAAATAAAGTATGAACTTAATGTTGGAATAAATATGAAATAAAACTCTTAAAATGAAATACATTTATTTGAAAGTGGTAATGTAAAGTCAAAATGAAAAACCCCCAGAATTAAAAAAAAATTAAACAAAACAGAAGCTCAAATATCATTCAATATTACAATAAATTAGTAACAATGATTGCATTTACATAAATAGTTCAAAACAATACAATGAGTAATATTAATATTCAACATAAACATTACGATTCACATTATATACATTTAAAGCTTAAATAAAATAAACTCTAAAATCATTGTAAGCAATAATATTACGTTAACAAAACTCACCAGTTAAAAAATTGTTCAAACACAATAAAATAACAAAGACAGAATTAATTTAAAAACACAAAAAGGCCAAAAAATATAAAATAAAATACAAGCAATATCTTATTCTTCCATGTAATTCACAAATAAAGTCAAAATAAGATGAAGAAAAAATGAAAAGTAGCATTTTATACTTTTATACTTGCAATGATACAGGATGCACATTGAGAGCACACTGGTGACGTCAGTTGTAAAAGATCATAAAAATCAAATGAATACGTAGCATAATGTGTATGGAAATAAGTGTATAAATAAATACATATAGGCTAACTGAGGCACGAGACGAGCGAAATAGCTGAAATGGATGGAAAAAAACAAATCAAAACAAAACAGTCGAGTCACGTGACGTCCATCAAAACAAAACGCGCTAATTACGATAGCGTGGCCAAAGGTAGAGAGGGGCGTTAAACTGTTATTGTCCAGAGGGTCGGTGCATGCGGACAGAGTGCGAGAGAGAGAGAGAGAGAGAGAGACAGAGAGAGAGAGAGAGAGAGAGAGAGAGAGAGGGAGAGAGAGAGAGAGAGAGAGAGTACTGTGTGTGTCCGTGTGTGCGTGCGTGCGTGCGTGCGTGCGGCTGCGTTTGCGTGAGAAGCGGAGGCTGGGTCCAGAGGGAGGGGAGGGTCTCGG